CTGATATTCTGCAAAAGAGACGGGGTAAAGTTTGTTCTTTTCAAAGAAAATGAAAGGAGGCAGTTATATTTAAGCCCTGTTTTGTTATAAATATGCTGAGTGAAGATGACGCTCATATACATATGTAGCTACACGAGGCTGTTTGGTGTCTGTTAATCATAATATCAAAATAAAACAAATTTGACTTATATTTTGTTTTCATTGTTTAGATAGTAAAACAGCAAGCAGGATGAGGTGAATTAGGTTATAAAGTACACTGTTCCCTTTGAAGATTTACCCATGCATTAGCAGGCAGTTTTTGTTATGTTTATTATTAAATATAGTCTGAGTGAATAATGTATTGAATAAGCTAAATTGGCTGTAGTGTATGAGTGTGTATGAGTGTGTATATGGGTGATTTCCAATATTGGGTTGGGGCTGGAAAGGCATCTGCTGCATAAAACACGCTGGAATAGTTGGCAGTTCATTCCACTGCGGCAACCCCTGATAAATAAGGGACTAATGTGAAGAATAAATGAATATAAAAATTAAAAAAATAAATAAAAAATAAAAAATAAATGAATGAATAGTGTATTTTTTTAGAACTCAACAAATAGTTTTATGGACAGTATACAGAAATTAAGTTGAGATTAAAGTTTGTATTTATTTATTATTTATTTCATATATATGGCTTTTGTGTTTTATAAAATATGAGTTGATAAAAATATTGGACGTGCATAGATAGATAGCATTTTGATTGAATGTAGTGGGCCACTCTGGCCCAAAATGCCAGGGCCGATTTTTTTGCCCCAGTCCAGCCCTGCTTCAGACCACCTTTTAGTTAGTCAATGGCGCAGTCTATTTCATTTCTCAAAATAGCAATGCCAACTATCCTTTTCAGACCAGCACACCCAAGAGACCACAAAGTGGCACAAATGGACAACTATTGCTATTTAAACAACTTGGCACAAAATGTGAAAATTACTGTTGCGCTGGGCTGAAAATATAGCAACAAATTGCGCCAAACACGTCTTGCACCTTATTGCGAAGGGTGTATGATAGGGCCCTTTGTATGAAACAAATGGGGATAGAATATGGACAAACTCAACACTTGGGCTACAATTTTGAATTTAATTGTAAATAAATTCATACAGGGCGAAGCAGTGGCGCAGTAGGTAGTGCTGTCGCCTACCAGCAAGAAGGTCGCTGGGTCGTTGGTTCGCAGTTGGCGTTTCTGTGTTGAGTTTGCATGTTCTCCCTGCGTTTGCGTGGGTTTCCTCCAGGTGCTCCGGTTTCCCCAACAGTCCAAAGACATGCGGGACAGGTGAATTGGGTAGGCTAAATTGTCCGTAGTGTATGAGTGTGTGTGTAAATGTGTGTGTGGATGTTTCCCAGAGATGGGTTGTGGCTGGAAGGGCATCCGCTGCATAAAAACTTGCTGGATAAGTTGGCTGTTCATTCCGCTGTGGCGACCCCGAATTAATAAAGGGACTAAGCCAACAAGAGAATGAATGAATGAATAACCTGTCGGCACCTCTGAAATCTGACCTGGTACCAGTAATAGTAAAAGAAATAAGACTTTCTACAGAAAAACATAGAAAACGCTGGAAAAATTTAAGAGGATCAAGACACCCCATCTTTGACCTCACTTATTAACAAGATGCTTTTTACTCAACAATAATAGCTGCTAAATATCTGTCAACTCTTCACAATATAAGACATGGTTGATTTACTATTCTAGATAGATGTTATGTATTTTTAATGATGATAATGATGATGATGATGATCATCATCATCATCATCATTATTATTATTTGTTATTGCTGTTTTATTGAATCATAAATGTATTTCTTTAAATAAACTGTTTTTTTATTTTTTATTAATATTGTTATAATTTTTTTTGGTTTTATCTTCACTGAAGTGTATTGTTTTCATATATTCTGTTTAACAAGAGAAAATAACTTGATTTAACAAAATAAATAAATAAATAAATAAATAAATAAATAAATAAAGCAACATTAAATAACATAAATGAAAATAATTTAGCTTTTTTTTTTTTTTTTTACAAAAAAATATTGCAATGCAAGAACAAATTTGAACTATTGCCCTCACTGTAAAAAAATCTAGGTTCCACAGAAATGATTTGTGTGGGACAACATGAAGGAATTAGGTTAAATTATTAGTTTTTACTTATTTAAGTGGATTATTAATAATTATGTTGTCCCCACAAAGAAATTGTGATAATTGTGTTGTTTCAGCTCATTAAAAACAATTAGCTTGAACAAAGAGCAATTTTTTTTGAGTGCTGATTATGTTTGCTTTTAAAAATAAACTGAAACAACTCAATTCTTAAGTTTTTATGGGAAACATTTTAATTGTTTTAGTCTTTAGTCCTTTATTTATGTTTAATTAACTTAAATTAGCTAAATAAACTACTGAGTTAACTTTATTCCTTCATGTTGCCCTAACACAAATAAATTGTATGGAATACAGCTTTTTTACATGCCACAATCTTCTTGTTGAGTCATAAGAGTAGGCTACAGAATCCAGAACTGGTACTGATGAACTGAATCAAAATACATAATGGTAGGCATGTGTTATTAGCATATAAGAATGTTATTTAACTTGACAGCAAGATAGAAAATGGCCATGTTCAAAAGTTTGATCAGTAACAGCTGGAAGAGGCAGGAATGTCTGAGGCCTGGAGCTTTGTGCAGTAAATGCCAGGAACCCCTTAGGGGATGGACAGCCGCCAAATGATACAACTCACTTCCATAATGTTCCGTCTTTAAGTGTGCGCAGAATAACTTTTCTGTGATCAGTGTTTTTTTTTAATGCTTGTCAAATATCTGGAAGTACGCACAGAAAGAACTAATCAATCTTCAGTATGCTAGGTCTGCAATATTTTTATATCTGCAAAAGGCAGATTTAAATGGGTTGGTAATAGGTTGGGTTTGTATAAGATATTTTAAAATGTTTGTATAGCAGCATTATTGCCACAGTCATTTTAATATCTGCTGGAAAGAGTTTGCTATGTATATGTAAGATCTGAAGCAGTTTTATTAACATATTCATGCAGTTGCATCAACCAATAAGCAAGGATTGGTCTCTAAGAGTCAGAGCAAGATCAGTCTCAGAGAGTAAATCAGAGCAGTGTCTTGTTTTGTGCCAAGGCAGCTTAGTGCCAGCTCAACACTTAGATTTTAGTGCCAATTAGCTGAATAATTCAAGGCTCTGAGATCGAGAGCTGTGCACTATTCAGTTAGTAAGGATCTCTGCTCTCATACAAGATCTCCAAAGGCTAGCGATAACAGAATTTAAACTCTTTAGGGGCATAGCTGTTATTGTTCAACTGCACATGCATCTTCAGTTTCAAGCATGTCTTTTCTTCTTCTTTGCCATACTTTTTTTGTTTGTTTCATTTATAATGTTCTAAAGTATTTTATGTTTTTTAATCTGGCTTTTTAACCTCACCAAGGCATTTATTTAATCAAAATATAAGTCTTCAAGTACACTACTTATCTACCTATCCACTACCTATCCAAGTTTTAGGAACAACAAATAATAACTTTAATAACTTTAGTTGATTATTTGGTATCAGAAGTAGCTTATATGAAAGGCAAAGGCTTCTAGATTGTTTATTTTACCAAAATAAAATATGATAATGCCTTAATTTTTTATGATTTAATTAGGACAGTAAGGTCTGACTTTGCTGAGACAAAAGTCTTTTCACTTAACAGAAATAATGTACAGTATAGAATGTAAAGTCCTGGTACAGTGGAAAAACAATTACTATTGTGTATAACTCCCAGCTTGGAGAACTGCATCCATACATCTCTGCAATGAATCAAAAAACTTAATAATAAAGTCATCTAGAATGGCAGTTCATCAAGATTCTTTGGATTCATCTTCAATGCGTCCACCTTCATCTAACCCCAGACATGCTCAATAATGTTCAACTCTGGCCACTGGGCTGGCCAATCCAGGAGCACCAGTACTTTCATTCTCAGTACTTGTAATTGACAAAGAAGCATTATTTTATAAACTTAAAAAAGTACTCCAACTTGCAAACAATTTAGTTGGTTTTCAGCACATATTCACAAACAGAGAAAAAATACCTCTACCATAATTGTGAAAAACAAAATAACCCAAAACCCAAAAGTAAAAGAACAAACAAACGGCAAATAAACAAATGATATATGTACAACCACACTATTATACACAGACAAGTCACAAATTGCTCACGGCACCACAGTAGCTCACTCACTCGCCAGGTTAACTGACTCCGAATTTGAGTTTTAGGGCTTCCTTTTAAAGATGAAGCCCCACCTCTTTGAAATAAACCAACATATACAAATTAAAATGTAATCTATCCTTATAAATAAACTGCATAGTTGCAATCTAAACAACTACATTCACGACTAGAAAAGCCTTAAAGGTACATTATGTTGTCCAACAGCAGCAATATTTGTCAAACTGTAGAGTGTCCTCTGCTTGTTGCTATACAGTATGTGGGCAGAATAATACATAAGGTTAAAGGATGAAGAAGCTGGACAAGTGCTGTTATTTACAGAATATTGCAGTATAAAAAAGTTGTATTAAACATATAAACATGATTATATACATAAATAAAGATAGTATAAACATATGTTCTCTGCCCTATCCAAACGACAATAATTGAGTTATCCTATATATGGTTAGATTAGGGAAAGTACCTTTTTTCGCCTAATTTTCACCTACCAAACCTGAAGTCTACTCATACCTAAATACTATTGCATAAAAGCAATATTTCATCTCATACAGATAACCCTTTTAAACAACATAAACCCTGCTGAAAGGGACAAATATTATTGTATAAATAACAACCTCAATACTCAAAAACCTTAAACTAATCATGTCTTTTTATTACTAGTTTCATGTATGCAGCTGTTAAAAGTTGTATAGTAATAAGTTGCTTGCAGAATCAACCAGCAATCAACATTTGACAAATTATATTATTTTTTTTACTCTTTATTTGATAGTCAAAGGCACTTCGGGAAAGATGGCTGCTGGATGGTGCGCCCTCTGCAGGACAGGAGGAAGACGAGACAACTAAACAGCTGCGGGAACATGAGGCCAAAACCAGAGGTCTTGAGGAGACCATTGTCAGGTAAATCCTCCTCAGCATTTTTTAAACATTATTTAAATATTAAGAATACACTTTTTTTTTTAATAAAACGAGTACTAAAAAGAAGTAGATGTGTTAGAAAGGCCCTGATATAGGATTCATCAGGGCTGTGTAATATGGATCTAGTGGCCAGGATTGTTCTTATCTGATTTGTCTCAGTTTATTCCCTATGGTGTAAAAGAGGCAGAATCTCTAATAGCAGAACAGTCGGTCTGAATGTCCAATACCCTGATTAAATTTCTGCTCTGGCTACAAGAGCTCCTTGAAAGCCACCCATGAGGTTAGGAAGGTTACTTTTTGAATTTACTTCACTACATATTAGAAAATAAATTTTTTAAACAGTAATGAAATATGAACGTATATAATGTAAGGATTCTGAAAACTTTAACTAATTACTAAAAACGTTAACAGTTAAAGTTAAACTGACTATTCCATATTTTAGGAGCCATATATGTGAACAATCAACCTCTTTTAGTAGATTTTGCTATTCTGAGTACTACCAGAAGCCTTTCTGGCCTTTTCTCTTGAGCACAGCCTGGAGAGAGAGTTGGAGGAGCTAGAGACGGGTGTGTCTGCAACATCCACCAAAGAAAACCTTTCAGATGCACTTCAGGAAATCAACACCAAGACAGTAGAAAAAATGGTGAGTTTTAACCGAATGTGTTTTGTAACCAATAAATTTCACTCCAGGTTTGGGATCTAGAGGCTTCTGTTGAAACCTTTGTACATGACACACAATGGGGGAAACATCTTATGTCTGGCTACACAAAGGCCATCTTGATTAAAGTAAGTGATGAATTGTTCTGCTTACAGTGCAGTTTCACTCAGGCATCATGCGCTAAACATCTAGGACTGACAGTCCTTTGCCTCATGAAAGCATTAGTGTTCTGCATTCAGAGCAGAATCCATAGCAACAGCAGTGATGCTTCGACAACACTAATTATGTTCTCTAATAGTTCCTTTAAAGTACATTGTATGTCTCTGTCCAGGCATTGGCTGACCTCCAACTTACAGTTTAAGTGTTGTGTCATCAGGACTGCAATAACATTTTTTGTTTACTTTAATAAATTTCCCATTACATTCACAGTGTTTTATTGTCTAGATTACTGCATCTTTCATGTTTCTCTAGATGACAATAATTAAGAAACAGCAACTTGGACTTAAACCTGACAGTCCAAACAGTTTCTATGAAAACTAATTTAATGCCAAAATAGATACATGTGTTGCTTTGTTATTGATGACTACACATTGTAAAATTGAGGGTAAATGTTATGTAACTCTTGACATTTGGCTATGACTTTAGTTTTTGGAAATACATTTTATAAAGTCAAATGTGTACATAGTTCAAATGAAATCCTGTAACACACTTTTTACTACGGCTATGCACAAATCAAAAGAAAATTGAGCTTTTTTTTTTCCACAAAAGGACAAAATGTTGTGTCTCACATAACCATGATATTTTATAATTCATGATGTCAAGTAGTGTTACCCTGTGGATAGAGCTTACATAGGACACTTTAGACTCTATCAGCCAAAAGCTTTTATCACAAACAGCTATGAAGTATTGTTGTGGATAAAGTGCATGTATACATAGCCATTGTGTTCTCGGCCATTGATAGCCAAGCCGCATTTCCTGAACCATTACTAAATCACCTGAGGAACATTCTGGTGAATTTATATGAATGCTTTGTCATTTAATCACCTGACATGAACCCAAATGGACATAAGTAATTTAATTTGGAAACTACATCATCACCACTAGGGTTGGGCCGATAGACGATGCCATAGTCGATAACCAATGAACAACACGATACTAATCTGGCATCGCCATCCATTGCCCCGCCCCCGTCGCAAACCCGCTGCCGAAAAACACACACTCAGGCCCTGTTTACACTTATATGTTTTAGTAAAATGGCATTTTAGAACAAAAGTGATACACATCCACACCGTTTTACCTTGCATTTCTGAATAGCCCTCTGTCTGCTGAAAACGCACATCACGTGACCACACACACAGCCACACACACACACACACACACACACACACACAGCCACACACTATCATACGCTCCGCTGAGCTCCAGGCAGAGAGCAGTGCACGTCAGAGAGCGCGTCTCACTACAGTATAATTGTTAAACGTGTTATTCAGACATCCCAAGTCTCACGGAAGCTTCGGGAGTCTCTATGTATTTGCGGGACTCATAATGCCCGCAAACAAGTAATAATTTCCCGGAAATCGCGCATCTCCCTCTCAGCCCTTAAATAAGTCGCACACTATTCTCACCCCAGAATCCCTCCTCGCTCTTCAGACCAAGATTTTTTTTTTTAAGTATTAATATGTACCTTTAAGATACTTTAAAGGTGCAGTATATAAGTTTCACATCCAGTGGTTAAACTAGGTATTGCATTTCTGGATCAAAACAAACGCAAGCGCATGTTGCCAGTTTGACGACCAAGAGTGAGAACATCAAGCCCAAAGTCTTATTTTAATCGTGTTCTAGATAAAAGCAACAGCACACGATAGAAGGAATATCTTTCATATTAAAAGGAGGTCTTGTTCTAACCAACACCTCTAATTAATATATTAGAAATGATTCTATTTCTCACAAGTCAACAACAGGATAAACTGATCACCTCTGGTACACCTCATTTGCTTTATTCAGTGTTAAATGCTAATAATGTGAGTTTGAATGCCATTTCACATGCCATTTATTACCATACTACTGAATACTACTACATAATCACTATCAGTGATTCAGCATGTACATTTAATAAAGAGGTTTAATATGTATTTATTAGATCATAAACCTTACCATATTGTGAGTAAGTGAATATTCTGTGCTTCTGAGTGGCTGTATTTAAATTTCTGTGGTGTTTCATCTGGTGCAAACAGCCAAATTGAATCTGGTGCAAACAGCCAAATCTTGTCACATAGCATGTTGTTGGGACACGTGGTTACAATGTTATCTGCTCACCTAATGTTTAGGTTTGTAATATTTATAATATTTTCTAATTAATAACCTCATGTGGAACTCTGAATCTAAGTCTCATTTTGGAGTCTGCTACTGTCCAGCGGAGCGAAACGGCCATTTTCAAAGCAGAATATCTGACTTCAGCATTGTTTTTCAGATAAACAAGAATGTTTACTTGGCATGTTTCTTAAATACCTGCAACCAAATTATGGTATTTTATGCTTTAGAAAAGTCAAAAACTTGCACACAGCACCGTTTAATTACTTTATTCAAAAAAACGAGTGATATGTCACGCTCTCTTGGCATGAACATATTTTGCCATCATAATGGTTGTGTTATGGTCATATGAGTGCCTTGACAAATCAGGAAACAGACAGCAGTAGTCCAGAACACCAGTCAGAGAGCAGTTATGGACAGCCACACGTGTTTTCAAAATTCTGCATTTTAGCCCATCTATGCTGAAACTAAACACCAGCATTTCCAACCTTTTTCAGCATTTTCAAAACACTGTTTTCAGGCATGCCAGAAGTACCTGTAACAAAACTCTAAATACATTTTAAAACAAAAATGCAGTAGTGTAAACGGCAGTTGACGTTTGTTCTACAGGTTTATTTGTATCTCTTAAAAATAGCCACCAAAAAAAAAAAACAATAGATTAGCAGCTTTTTCACTCATTCATTCATTTTTATTTCAGCTTAGTCCCTGTATTAATCAGGGGTTGAAAACAGCAGAATGAACACCAACTTATCCAGCATATGTTTTACGCAGCGGATGCCCTTCCAGCTGCAACCCATAACTAGGAAACATCCATACACATGCATTCACACACATACAATACAATCAGTCTTTGCTTATCCAATTCACCTATACCACATGTCAATCTACTTGTGGCGCAAACCAAAGCACCCGGAGGAAACCCATGCAAACACAGGGAAAACATGCAAACTTCATGTTAGAAATGCCAACTGACCCAGCCCAGGCTCAAACCAGTGACTTTTTTGCTGTGAGGCGATCGTGCTACCCACTGCGAAACTGCGTAAATTAAAATGAATGAGTTCTACAATGTGCAACACAACCACTTCTGTTAAAACCATGATCCTTTTAGTACTCTTAAACAGAAAATATATTGTTGTTGACTGTATTTGAATATTTCATATTAAATGCACACATGCATAACATGGATCAACCAGATCAAATTTTAAACAGCTTTCTTTCTCTCTCTCTCTCTCTCTCTTGCAGGTGGTGACAGAATCTGTTAAAGGTAACATCCTCAACCTGATACATCTCTAATGATAATCTATCCATGAGCAATATTTGATCTCCACACATTTTAAATGTCCGCAATTTATAGCTTACAGTCGGTGAAGGATATTTCAGTGTTGTGTTTAGTACTTCCTTTCCATCCCCGCTCTTTCTCCTCCTCTTCCTCACTCTTGCTTCTTAAACCTTATTATCATTCTCTATCCTTCTCTGTCCTCGTTCATGACCCTAATTAGAGGTCAAAGTTCACGTCAGCCCTCGTCTGGAGAAATCCGGAGGTGTCTCTGACATGATGAGAGCAGGTGAGTGTCGGTCCAACTGTAGCTCACACATTCACTCTTCCTGCTGTTTTTACCCTTTACTTCTTTAAATATGACAAAAAAGAACACATATTAAAGAAAATAGAGTCAACATGAAAGTTAAGGTGGTTTTAGGATACAGTTTTGTATGCCATTGCAGAAATAGGAGAAAACCTTTCAGTGTATACCATATTAATGTCAACCCAGGCTCATTCTGAAAACATAGAACTATATAAATTTCTGGAGAGCGCCAGTTTTTTTGCAGTTTTTGTTTTCGTGAATCCACCAGAGGCCGCTGTGTATGCTTTTAAGATTGCAAATTTCTCTCATGGGTGCCATTCCCGCCTGCTCTTCTAACATAAATCCACCAGAAGCAGCTATGGACTTACTGACTGACTGACTGACTGATCAACTGACCCACCCTCCTCCTTCCCTGAACCCAACCAATAGTGTTTTCAAAGCACTGATTGACCCAACCACCCACTTATCTAAACCCAACCAACAGTTTTAAAAAGATAGATTTTTACCACATTTTTAGATTTTACCACATTTTCATCCTGTTATTGACTTATTTATAAAATTTTTTGGTTTCTATTTTTTACTACCCTCTTTCTGGAACCGTTCTTCTCCGGACTCAAACCCTGTCACCGTGGTCAACTCCTCTCTGTCTTAAGTTTGCCGATGTACATGGCGAGCTACTGGTCAAACTGGTAACAGCGGGAAAGCCTTCCACACGGAGGTAATCGGTCAGCTGCTAGCGCGAAAAGGAACGGCATCATACCACCCCATAGCGTTCGTTTTAAAGACTCATTGTAGCCTTACGTACTTCTGAATCTCCAGAAATTTATATAGGGCTATGTTTTTACAATGAGCCTATGCTCAATGTTGTGAGATATTGTTGTCGATGTTCAGTGTATGCTTAGAAACTTTTCAACTCCTATTGCTTTTTTATCATAAAACATGAATGTGCCAAACTGATGGCTAAATTTATGTTTTAGAGTCAAGTAACTGAACAAAAGTTTTTTGCCTTTTAGACATTTTGAAATGCACAAATGGCATTACAGAACTTAAAGACAGAGTCCTAAATATTTAAACACACCACAATTAAAAATGATCATTTGGTATCCAGATAAAACCAATGTAGAAATTATGTCTTTGTTAAAATGTTATCTTTTTAACTGCTCTTGTTTTTATATCCTGAAATATCATGTGTCAAACTGATTGCTGAACCAGTATTTTCAGCAGAAGTAAATACAGCCAGACAAGACTTTTTAGAAAGTTATTTTTGTTGTTGTTGTCAGTGTTATCTAGCAGGTGAAACTGCATATTCCCTCTAATGTGTGTTTATTTATGTGTCCACTTGATTACAAAACCAGAAAATCCAATCACGTGTTGATTTCAACTAATCTTGTCTTCTGATTTTCTGTTCTCTTGGTTGGTGTGTTTGCATGTGTGTGCTTCCATGTGTGTCTCAATCATAAACTAAGCTAAATAACAAAGTTAAAGAATGTTATTTTTGGAAATTATACTTTTAAAGGATCCGTTGTCATGGCAGTGCTGCCTCTGAATTAATAGCATGGCTGTATTCAGAAATTGCATACTTTCCTACTACATCATATGGTATGTAAAAAACAGTATGTGAAAATAGTATTGAGGATAGTATAGTTCATTCATTTTCTTTCCGGCTTAGTCCCTTTATTAATCTGTGATCGCCACTGCAGAATGAACCGCCAACTTATCCAGCATATGTTTTACGCAGTGGATGCCCTTCCAGCTGCAACCCATTACTGGAAAATATCCATACACACTCATTCACACAAATACACAACAGCCAGTTTAGTTTACTCAATTCACTTATAGTGCATGTGTTTGGACTGTGGGGGAAACTGAAGCACCCAGAGGAAACCCACGCAAATATGGGGATACATGCAAACTCCACACAGAAATGCCAACGTACTCAGTCGAGGTTTGAACCAGCGACCTTTTTGCCGTAAGGCAATTGTGCTACCCACTGTGCCACCGTGACGCCCAGTATAGTATAGTATAGTATAGTATAGTATAGTATAGTAGACTAAACCAACAAAACCACTGAAGATGATTTGTGAATGGCATTAAAGCTACGCAATTGAACATTCATGGCAGTTTTAATGACAAGGGATCTGGCCAATCATTTAGCTGATATTCTATGCCCTGTCTTTGTCTGTCATGTTGTCAGTCAGGTGTCTTAGCAGAGTAACAATGGCAATTAACATAAAAATAATGGTCATATCTGAATTGCAACACAGACAGCAGGTACCCAGTCAGGCTGGGCTATGTCAAAGTCCCTTTAAGGCAAGTCATTTCACTCTGCGGCTATCTTTTAAACGCCTCTTGGGCAATATGGTCGGCATTTTGTCTGAATGGGGAAACATCAAATTCTCCAAAATTACTTGCCAAGCTTATGATAAAAGTTAATATTAGGAAACACCAATTCAATTACACAACAACTGTCTGTAGTTGTATTTCTAAATGTTCTAATCACTCAAAATCTGCATAAACTCACTATTGGTCCAAGCCCCTACCCCGGAGATTCGTCAGTCAATAGCGATCACTGATTGGCTCGTGTACTAGAAGGTGGGCTTCATTTGCCATGTTGATCATTAAACTTTTCCCCATTAAAAACTATACGAGTGACATGTCTTGCGTATTCTTTAGTTTTGACAATATACAACTCCATCCCTTTCTAAAACCTAGAGAAAAATTATTGAAATGGACATATTTGTGAGAACGGATCTCCATCAACTTTCAATCAATTGTGCTGTTACTACTGCTGAACAAACAACTCAAGACTATGATAAAATGTATATATATATATATATATATATATATATATATATATATATATATATATATATATATATATATATATATATATATATATATATATATATATATATATATTATTTTATTTATTTATTTTTTTTATTGACCTGGGACAGTATGCATAACTTTAGTTTAGGGATTTGTGACGTGACAAAAGAACTATTTGAGGACTCGGAATATGAAAGATGAGATCAGCTAATTTAACCTGCCTGCCTGGAGAGACAAACAATTAATCTTTAGTGTCTCTTATAATTTTGTTGATGCATTATAGTTTTGTTCTTGATCGAGATGCAACAATTTGCATGTGTTTGTGAATTATATTAGAGAATAGGTATTTAACATATCAGCTGGCATTTCTGTGGGGAGTTTGCATGTTCTCCCTGTGTTCGCATGGGTTTTTCTTTGGGTGCTCTGGTTTCCCCCACAAGTCCAAAGACATGTGTTGTAAGTGTATTGGAGAGCTAAATTGTCCGTAGTGTATGTGTGTGAATGAGAGTGTATGAGTGTTTCCCAGTGTTGGGTTGCAGCTGAATGGGCATCCGCTGCGTAAAAGCAAATACTGGATAAGTTGGCGGTTTAGTCCACTGTCACGAGCCCTGATTAATGAAGGGATTAAGCCGAAAAGAAAATTAATTAATGAATGAAATCAAATGTTCAGAATTTAATGCATGGTGGCTCAGTGGTTAGCACTGTTGCCTCAAAGCAAGTAGGCCGCTGGTTCAAGTCCCAACTTCGACACTTGGCATTTCTGTGTAGAGTTTGCATGTTCTCCCCATCTTCGCGTGGGTTTCCTCCGGGTGCTCCAGTTTCCCCCACAGTAAAAAGACATGTGGAATAGGTGAATCGAATAATCTAAATTTTCTGTTGTGTGTGTGTGTGTGTGTGTATGTGTGCGTGCGTGCGTGTGTGTGTGTGTGTGTGTGTATGTGTGTGTGTGTGTGTGTGTGTGTGAATGTAAAACAAATGCCAGAATAGTTGGCATTTTATTCCTCTGTGGTGACCTCTAAAATAGGGGCTAAGCTGAAGGAAAATTAATGAATGAATGTTCCGAACTGCCCATCACTATAGTTGTATCGTACGGTAGATTGTATATCAGCCTTTTTTGCACTCACACTCTGAGCAGTGTACTTAATTTACTGTAGATTATACAAATAAAATATGAAAAATGTTTTTACAAATTAACTCTTCACTTATCATTGCCTCGTTAGTCCTGATAACAGATTCATGGTGTAAACAACCGGTTCTGGCAACGTAGTTGAGGATCCACACATAGTTTATTAAGCAGAGAATGCAACGCGAACAAACAGTACCATATACAGTAGGTAATCCAGAAGCATAGTCAGCAAAGCAGGCGATTGGTCAAGACAGGCAGTCAAAACAATGAAAACAATAAGGAAAGACTTTGTGGTGTTACACTACTAGTATAACAAGACTCAGCAAAGAGTTAGTGTGAACGAAGTGTCTTGATATTCCTAGTTATCAGACCTTTAGGAGCTTCCAGCTGTGTGTGTAATCAGGTGTAATCAGGAACTTGTGTGTGAGTGCAAAGACTTCTGGGAGTTGGATTTCATGTAGTGGCAGATGTGTAGTTGTCCAGCCATGTGCACTGGCTAGATTGCTGGTGATTGTGAAGATCTAAGATGCCAAGCTTCTAGGATTCAAGCTAAAAAATAATAGAGAGGCCTTTAAGGACATTAGAAATAAAAGTAGTAAAACAATGCAGATCATGCCCCCTGTAATATTAACATAATATTCAATAATAAACGGAAATAATTAATCCAAAAGTATGCAATTTCAAATGCAGCCTATGGCTTTAATTGATTTTGTCCATATAGAATTATTGCAAAATACACAACAAATGATTTGTTTCTGATGATTAATATTATAATGAATAAAAAAATCTAACATTTTAATAAATATATATTTCTAATTTCTAATTAAGATAAATCATAATATACATTACATTAAAATACCATCGGACATACTGTCTATCTGTCTTTCCTCATTTTACATTATTATAGTGATGGTGCATAGAGCTTCCTAAAATCATGTTTGTCTAGCTATAAGGAACAGGCGCAAAAATGTATGAATGTGTTTGTGAGTGTGACTTAATTTGAGTATGACAGCGCTTCATTGCAGGATGGTAATGTTTCCTTTTACATGCACTGCAGCAATGTACTCCGTAGAGATCACAGTTGAGAAGGACCTGGTGACTGGCGAGACCAAAGTCCTGTCCACTAACACACTGCTCCCCAAAGACCTCTCGCAGCAGGGGGTCAAAGTCTATGAGGATGAACAGAAAGGTGGCTGGCAATAGAGCAGGCGTGCTTGGCTTAACTAGATATGCCCGCTTTATGAGAAGTGCACAAAATATATTATGGAAAATTATTGTAATTTATCCTAATTGATCAAACCTGTTGTTCAAGATTAAAGGGATAGTTCACACAAAAATGTATTAATGTACTCACCCTATAATTGTATCAAACCAGTTTGAGTTCCTTTCTTGTTTGGAAGAATATTGGAAACTGATGGCCTTTGACTTTCAAAGGATTTTGTTTTATTATTACACAGTATTATTCCAGAATATGTTTTAGATGTTAGTGGCTACTGGTTTCCCATAAGCAAACAAACAATTGTATATGTGTGTTTGTTCATAAAGGGTGATTGTCTTATCTATCCCTTTATTCTTCAATCATTAACCAACATAAATGTAACCTCCCTCATTTTGTTCCAGGCCTATATTATTAGTTTTGTATTATATTCTAAACGCTCACTTTTCACATATTTTTGACTGCTGTCTTGTGGGTCATGTGACACACATGGGAATCATTCCCATTAGGTAGCAAATATGTATCTTCAAGTAGTATATTGAAATTTACAAAAGGCATTTGACATTTCATAGCTTTTAGATATTAGTTAATGCACTGTAAGATAACAAGAAACAACAATAAATGGCTAATTAAATAATATTAACATTTATTAGGGGAGAAAGGGGACGAAAGTAACGTGGGACGAAAGTAACAAAGCAATTTTCTCAAAGCCCTGACAACATTTGCTTTCCAGGCTATAACAGCACATTCAGCATGCAAGTGTTGATGGAAAGATCATGCGATTTCGAGACCATGTTCCACGGTTAGGTCCAAATATCTTTTTTTTGTGCAAAAAGTAAATTATTGTAGCAGTTCTTTTTTGTCTTATTACAAGTTGTGTTTCTCTTTTCATGTGTCACTAACCACAGGTTATTTAGTGCAATAACACATCCTTAAGTTTGAAATGTTTCTAAGTTTAAAAATAAATCAGAGTTTCTGTGGGGACAAAAGACACAATGTCCTATTGATAATAGACAATAATTTTTCACTTTCACATTATAAATTTCAGTGTTTTGATTGTTTTATGAAATTAAAGCAAATTGCCAATTATAATAAAATGATTTTAAAAACTGGAGAACATTTTTACATTATGCATTATTGAATTGCATTTGAAACATTTGATGGAAGTGAATTTTAAATTGAAAATGCCATTTAATAATTTTTTGCAAAAAATAAAGGACAATATGTGTTTGCAGTTAACATTAACAAGGTCATAGTCAGATATAATTAAAATAAACAAGATTAAGCAGTAAATCCACCAAATATTATTGTGTTAGTAATAATGTGCAACTTTTATTTTAAGTGATGTTATATTGAAGTTGTTCTACATTGATACAAAATAACACTCTTGTAAGTTCGTAACCACAGCAAAAATATATTTCTGCTAAAAATATTTTCTTTTAAAGTTAGGTTTTATGAAAAATGTTACTTTGGTGCTCGCTCTCCCCCTATTATTAACAAGATTTAGAAACACTGTAATGTATTGTTCAGTCTTTGCTTAGCTTAGTTTATACATTAATTAAAGGATCCTTTCCGTAAAGTATTAATGGTTAATTTTGTTCATGTATGTTCATGCAACTTAAATTACACTTGTTTATTTCCATTGATGGATATATACATTACAATTTTAGTTTACTAGATATTTTACTAGAGCCGTGATAATTATATGCGGAAATGTCACAACAAGCCTTTTTTTTCCAATGGGACTGGCTTGTAAAATCTATTGTTTATTACACTACTATAAATTTAGTAGCTTCTTTATGCAGTGCTAAACACCTCTTTTGCATTCCACCCAGGGCTGCACGATATTAGAAAAAACTGAAATAGCAATATTTTGTTTTTCTGCAATATACATTGCGATATGAATATAATTTTACAAAAGATGATCTAAATAACTCTACTTGTAAAGAATTCATAAATCTGCATAAAAGATAAACAATTTGCAAAAAGGAATTAATACAATAGAAAACAGATTTTAAAAAAATGTTTTGTCTTTTCTGGTTTTCTGTGAAGTCTAAGAACATAAATGCAACATTAATCAAATAGCATAAATAATTCAATACAATTTTATCTTTGTTACATTGAATTGTTTATTTAAATTCTTTAGTCACAATTCCTTAAAACAAATCCATATAAAAATCTTTCACTCTATTAGGGTTCAAATTTGCGATGACTACACAAATCACGTTCTTAAGCATGATTATAATCACAACACAGCATTGCAGATCCTGCAATGTGACGATTGCAGATGCGCATATTGCGATGTCGATGCTAAAACTATATATTGTGCAACCCTAATTCCACTATAGAAAGTGAATAAGATCAATTTGGAACAACAGGAGGGTAAGGTAGTTTCAACTTGCATGAATATTTGTATTTTACATTTGCCAGTTTTAAAAATAGCACACCATGATCTGTAATCAATGGTCACTTCTCATAAAGGAAGTTCACTTGAGCTTGGCTTTAAATGCAGGAGACCACAAACTTCCGTTTTTTTTTTTTTTTTTTTTTTTTGATGACTATTACATTTATTTCCTAGCAGAAAATACCATTTAATTCCTTTTTGGTCACCCTGCAACTTGACTGCTAGTTGTGAGCATGCAGCCGCTAAGCTTGGCCTTGTGCCTTGAGTCCGACTTCACTTTTCCCACTTAAAGGTGCAGTAGGTGATTGTCTTCAGAAATATATTTTTGTTGTGCTTGTTGAAAGTCTCTTTACAGTCCAATAGTAATGACTAAAGTCAATCTTAATGTGTTATATGTATTTTTATATTTTGGATAAGGCATAAAACAAAAAAAAATATTCATCCAATTAAATATTGTTGGGCCGTCATCTCCCATAATTCCGATAAGTAGCCCAAACTGTCTGTCAACAAATGTAGATTTGGGCTTTTGCGCACCTCTGTTCATGTTAGAGCTGCACAATTAATCGAAATAAGATCGCTATCTCGATTCGACCCCCTAGATGATCTTAATCCAGCATTTCTACCATTCTGCCAATCATATTTTCAAGTTGAGGAGAGAAGAAAAGGCAACCGCACAAGTCTTCACATTGTTTTACATACGTTATTCAGCAACGTGGACACCAATGGTGTTGAAATGTTGTTGAGGAGTCACATACTGTTTTTATAAGGTATAATTCACCTCAAAATGCCACTTGTGTCTTCATGTAATGATGTATTCGCGGCTGCGATATCTCACGTGACGTGAGCTGCTGACCGTGAGCTGTTACCACAGAGAGGGTGGGTGCGCGCCTGTGAATGAAGTGTACTTTAGTGAACAGAACCTGCATAGGCTGTAAATAACAGGTAATAAAGTTGTAAAAAACATTCAGTTTGTGGAACAGAGTGACTGTTTAAGAGCCGCGCGGGAAGTATGAACAGCACTTAGCAGTAAAAATTAAACCGCATTTGATATGCTTTTTCTTTCTTAGTGAACACAAAGTGTTGTGCATGAGAATAAACAGTAGACCTACATATAATATTTATAGTTTTCTACCATATGTTTGAAATTTATCAATAATAATAGCTCACTCATTTAAACCTTTATTTTACATCTACAGAATCGTGAGAAAATTGTGATCTTTATTTTAAGCAAAATAAATCGCTATTCTCATTTTAGCCAGAATCGTGCAGCTCTAGGTCATGCATATCCGCCAATAGCACGTGCACGCCTGCATGCATGCTGCACGTTCACGACATGTGCTGCACACATAAGACAGTCACAGTCGCGGTAAAATCAAATGCTGAATTGAAACTTTTTAAAATCCTGAATCAATATTGGAGTTGCTTTTGCACGCTGGAGGAAGGATGACACCATGAATAAAATATTTATTTTAGACAGGTAATGTTATGTTTTAAAACTATTTTAGTCTGATGTAGATGTTGTGGTTACAAATGGGTTATAAACACAAAAGTGTTGTTCAGCCACTGAAATCTTCCGGCGAAAGATTGATGTGACTTTTTTTCATTTTCATAAGGAACCTTTACAGCAGGGCTATTCAATTGGTGGCCCGCGGGCCGAACCCGGCCCCCTGAGGCAATATGTTCTGGCCCTCCAATTAGTGTATCCAAGACATAAAAATTTATTTAGTTCAGTAGAAAAAAGGCCGCTATAGCTATGAAGTGGCATGTGTCTGTTCAATTCAGTATGAGCTGCAGAGGCTGCACAGAGCGTGAGTCACCATAAGCGAGTGGTAGGGACAGCCGAAAACATTTGGATATGTTTTGTAGAAAATGCCTTTTGTACAATGCAACGAGCTTTCCTCTGTCCGGGCGCACGCAGTAGAAAACATCTCACGGTGAGAATTGCACGTGCCTTTCAGTGCAATGTAAACAAAATATATGTTAGACGAATTTTTATTAAAATGATTATATACGCATGAACCCAGATGATAACAACAGTTAATCTAAATAGCTTTAAATAACTTCCCAAATATAAAGCTTATTGTTCTAAATTACATTAGACGTGATAACCGTAAAAGCATGATTATTCTTCAGACTACATCGTAAAATCTATAATGTTGCATCACTAATTATTATGCTGTTCAAAACATAATATATGAGTGTCTGAATGTAGAAGAAGCCTACTTCAGCAAATGCACTGATTTTGTTGTGCAAAATACAACATTTTGAATGTTTGTAAACCAAAAAATAGTTGGACAATGCAGTGGTATTATGTTGTTTTAAAATGCAATATATTAACATTTTAATGTAGAAAAAGCCAACATTGGTGTCTTTATGAGCACAAATACAGCATACAGGCTGTTATATGTAGTTGTGTCATCACTCATATAGCCATATCCCTCCGGCCCTTCGTTTGGGATGCTTTTCATGAAACAGCCCCCATGCCTAATTGACTAGCCCTGCTTTACAGCATAGATAATGTAGATTTACATTTAATTTAACAAAAAAACATCAGTAAATAGTGCTGTTCCACCTAGCCTACTTTACTGAGCTGAAGTTGCTTTTACTGTATATTCACATTGGGTCATGTTTGTACAATGACAGCCTGTGACGCACTCCCTATATTGTTTACTGCTACTCTGAATATTCACTTTGAAATAGCATGTATGTGTGGCTTAGTAACAAGTGTAATTCCAAGCCCTAAATACATTTCTAACTGGCGAATAACATTAACTAGTGGGTTGTCTGCTGTCATGTCGCGGTGCGCACGTTCGTGATTTCAGGAGGCATCCCGTCCAAAGATAATTTGCTAACCAGTTAGCATTTTGGCATATCACCTACTACACCTTTAAATGTTTGTTGTTAAACAATAAAACAGTAATGTAGTACATTTTATGTTATGGATATTTAATAAAATACTTGTATCACTCATATTGCATCTGTTTTTAAGGCTTACGCTTCTAGCTACTAATGCTAACACCGGCAGCACTGCTTGCTTCCTGCTCTGTTTACTCAGCTTGCCACACTTTCCCTGTGTTTGATCCCTCACTCAAGTGAGCACTTCAAGTGAAGCTCACTTGACACACATAACCCAGAAAGACAATACTAACAATAGTCCCTTACAAGGCACAGTATGCATTCCATAGATTTTATCAATGAGTAGATTGATGTTTTTGTAGGCTTACATTAGCCATGTTGGTATCCACCGTGTATGCACATTTTGGACTATCGCATAAAATGCTTCATAGAGATTTTAAAAACACACATAAAATACAAATGCGCACGACTGAGTAGGATATACTTTTTTAAAAAGTTTGCATAAACTACAATCGACACACATTTGATGAATAAATTCCAGCATGCATATAAAAATATATATATATATTGTTTTGATCGTGTTAACAAAAATGGCAAAAATTTACAGGTATACTTAAGTGGATAAAGAAGTTATTCTTGATTCTTATTCACTTACTCCCAGTGCCATTTATATCGAAGTTGATATTCAGCCACACCATGTTGGTGTTCCGTAACATTTAATCTTTACGAGGTGGGTCCTTAGCATAACACTTAAACCCCAACCTGGAGGACCCATTCTTCAATTTTAAATTTGATTTATGAGTAAGAAGTGAGAACCATTCGTCTTTAAAGTCAGCATGAAACTGATGTCCTTTATTCCAATATCATGACATAAATCCACTTGAAATGATCCTGAAATTAGGAAAGAGCTGTTTGGCTGTGCATGAGTTCATCCTTTGGGAACCGATTGGATCATTGGAAGATGGGCATTGTTAACAAAATTGAGGAAGATTGATGAATGGACAAAGGCAGGGAAGAAATCAGATGGCCACTGATAGAGCCGCACTTAAGACATTCCATGTGACCATAACTGAAGAAATGTCATTTCGAGGGGGAGGGAAGGTTATGGTATTTGAGGTTATAAGATCCATTGTTTATAACAAGCAGCACTATATAGAACAAGATTCAATTTTGATTTCATGCTGACTTTAAAGTGGTTCAGTATTATTACCTCCAAGAACTGTCTTCCTTCCAGAGGTGCGGTCTAGTTTCCAAAGGCCAGCTATTCATTGCATTTTGTCTAATTTATTAGATAGGAAAGAGACACATTGGCTTCTCCTACCACACTAAATAAAATTTTTATTTTTGATATTTGACGCCGTTTATCAGAAACTGATGATTTTGTACTCTTTGATTCATTGGATGGAAATGTTTTATGCGAAATTCCAGTTTTGTGCATAGGTTTAATTTGCATCTTTGGATGGAAACATAGCTATTGTAAGTGACATGTAAAACATACAATTACATAGTTATTTAAAATTATTTGTTTGACATAAAGTCATAAATGTACTGCTAGGGGTTGCTGTATTGACCTACCTACAACTGCCACTGAGAGTAAATTTTACCCATGTACGAATTCTGTTTAGAAATGCTAAAAAAATGCATTATTTCACTGTATTATGACACTGTAGTAACAAAAGTACCTGGAGTCATAAAATGATCATGTCTAGTCATCAACTTTATTTTTGTCCTGTTTTTTACTTTGAGGCATTTTAATGCAGGCTGCATTTTCACTTTCATAATGATAGGATAGCTTTAAGGTAAACAAGTCTGCACTGACAAAAATAATTTATCAGTCAATTCATGTTTTGTTGGTTTAATAATAATCATATATTAATATATCCATGTAATTTAAACTATAATGAACAATAATTCACATCACTGCCTATGATGTATGATTCAAAGACACATTTAAGCGCACAGCTTCACCTAATTCATTATTTTGTCATATAATTTAGCCCACACGGAATCTGTGCGCTCAGAAATCTGCAGATTTTTAGCCCATCATTGAGTCTATTTATTTACTTGTGTAAATGTCTGTATAATCATTTAGTAATAATAATGACTACTATGAAAATTATTTATTTACAATACAGTACAATATTGTCTTTTTGCAGATAAATCAGAGACTTGCTTTGTTTATCAAATTTATATATTGGATTTGCATTGTAAACCTTTTACACAAGTTTTAAAAAGTTTTTAAAAGACACACAAGTTTTAAAAAGTATATATTTTTCATTTATTAAGTTCTAAGTTATGATACTGATCATAAAGCAGAAATCTGCTAATTTTTTTTACAAAATTGTCAACAGAATGTTGGCAGATTCTGTCTCGCCTTAGTTATAATTTATAGTTTAAATAAGAGAACTCCAATAAGAGTAGACTAAAATGTATAGATCTAATCATGCGTTGAGTATTAGAGGCTCTGGATCGCTGTCAGATGAACTCTCAGATACTGAGGTGACCGAGCTGGGCACATCACTTATTTTACTACCTTTACAAATCACATTCTTGTATGTTCTTTCACATTCTTTCTTTCTTTATTTATTTATGATTGATTATCATTAATCCAGCACATAAAAATGTGTTGCCATGCAGCATACAAAATTAAAACACAAACAGCAGATCAATGCAGGCTTTTTATAGCAGGGTTTGACCAATGGTGGCATGTAAAAATGCCCAATTTATTTTTTTTTTTACTTTTTTTTTTATCTGGTTTTACCTAAACTATTTTTGACCTCAAGGAATTGTAAATGAGGCAATTTTAGCAAAAGTCAACAACCTAGAGGCTTGAATGTTATGTTGAAGGTCTTTGTTTGGTACATTTGAAATGGAATGGGTAAAATTTACTCCATGACGGTTAGTGTCAAAGAAATATTATTTTACGTCTTTGCAAAAAGCATATTAAAACTTATTTTAAGAAGATTAAGGCATTTGTTTTTCTTTTTTTTTTTCTTTCATATTAAACAATTTTTTTTCTTTAACTGTATAAAAACCTGCAACCTTTTCTTGATCTTGAGCACTCTTGTTTGTTCAGGTCAATGTTTCTCCAGGCATTGTCATGTCAGTTCAGAAACAAAATGCAGTCAGTCAGAAAATTATTGAGAGGTCTCTGAGTGACTTTCCCTGACTCAGTTTGTCTTGTTTTTCTCTGTATAGTGGTGCATGAAGTGCGCAGTGTGGATGGCACAGTAACCAATGGTGTTCACCAGCTGAGCTCTTCAGAGGTTGATGAGCTCCTCCACAAAGCTGATGAGGTGACCATGGGCGAGAGTAGCAAGACAACGCCACGACTGGAGCGAGGGCAAGCCGAGAAGGAGGAGAAACATGAGAAAGATGTAACCCCAGCTGAAGCTAGCTCTACCCCCATCATGGAAATCACGGGCGTAGAAGCGAAACCCGCAGCCCCGCAGACGGAAGTGAGCGGAGCCAGTGCGGAGAACCCAGTTACAATGGTTTTCATGGGTTACCAGAGCGTAGAGGATGAGGATGAAACAAAGAAGGTTTTGGGGATGGAGAGCACGACTGTGAAGGCTGAGGTGGTGCTCATTGAGGATGGAGAAGGCAAAAATGCTGGCAGTGACACCAAGCAGGAGCAGGCGCCCCCTAATGGCAGCCCAGCAGAGGCAGATAAGGCTGAAGAGGCAGCAAGAGAGTCTGAGCAGCCAGAAGGGGACAATGCTGAGGTCAAGAGCAAGGAGAAACAACCATGCAAGTGCTGCACCATCATGTGAGCCCAAACACACCCTCCCAAACACGGACTTTACTGATGAAATGCAACAACATGCAAAGAGAACAATGTCAAGGCAGAGAATAAACATTCAGTATCTTTTGATAAGCTGTTATTTCTTTAATTGATTTTTACCTGTTTTATATTTTATATATTACTTTATCTTTCCCCCATGATACTCTCTAACCTCATTTCATTTTTATTTTGAAATAATTATTATTTTGTTTTATTTTTTGTGAATGAAAAGAATGATGTCATATAGAAAAGTCTGAAGATTAAACCAAACTCAACCGATCAGTGTCCGTTCGCTTTAAATAGCGTTTCCTTTCATTGACTTTATTTGACTTCCCTTTTTGCGAAGCAAATGTTGCATGCACTACAAAATTTTTTCACTCTCACATATAAAAAGCTCAGTTTATTAATCAAGTAAGTTGTGAGATGCATTTAATTCATTATCATTTTGTTTTTTAAAGTAGGAATAAAACCTGTGGTATTGATGCACCTTTTCTTAGTATTGACAGTATTGTTTTAAAATGACTAAGCATTAGCTGAGTTTTTTAAAGGAATGTTCCAGTTTTATTTAAAAGTTCTCAGTTACTACAGATAAAAAGGACAATGAGTTTTTACCCATCCCCCAGTTTGTATTTGCATTGAAATATTAATTTGAATGTGATTTTTGAATGTGATTAAAACAGATTATCAACTCTAAGGTTGCCTAAATCATTCTCCTTTTATGGGAGCATGTACGCTACCATCCTAAATGCTTGGGGTAGGTAAGATTAAAAATATATAATCTATAATATATACAAAATGTCATGTTTACTGGGGGAGCATTTATTTGATAAAAAAATCAATAAAACTGTTCTAAATTGCTTTAATAGTTCACATTTAAAACAACAAATTAGTAAATGCTATCTATTCCCATGATGGCAAAGCCATTTTTATTTGGGAATAAAGAAACAATTCTTATTGTTATCAATTTTAAAAAGAGAATTACTGCTTTCAATTTTGTGGAAATTATTTTATTCTAAAGTACAGTATACATTTCCGATAGTACTCTTTTGTAATTTGATACAAACATTTACCAACCCAGCCTCATTCTGATTACGTACCCCTATATACATTTCTGCAGAGTATCAAATACGTTCCAGGAGCTTTTTTTTTTTCTTTTGCATTTTTTGAAAAAATGTTTGCAAATCCATTAGAGGACGCTGTGTAAATTTTTGAATACCTCAAATTTCTCCCGCAAGTGCCATTCGCTACTGCTTTTCTCATGTAAAAAATCCACCAGAGGCCGATGTCAACTGACTTACTGACCCTCTTCCTTCCCTAAACCCAACCGATAGTGTTTTCGAAAGCTATCCAGAAATATAATCTATAATATGTATAAATGTCATATGTTTACTAAGGGAGCATTTATTTGATTAAAAATTCAGTAAAACTGTTCTATATTGCTTTAATAGTTCACAGTAGTTCACGACAAATTTTAAATGCTATCTGTGGACCACTTTGAGGAATGTAAACGATAACATTGATCCTAATGTATTTCCTGGATTACATTTTGAATTTCCATAGCTTTCAATAATCCAGAAAGGTCCACATATTGATAAATGATGTTATAATAGCTGCTTTAATATTATGATATTGATAAATGTTTTAAAAAATAACCGATTGACCAGCACCCACCTTCTTCTCTAAACCCAACTGACAGTGTTTTCGAAAGCAATCCAGAAAAAGAAAAGCCCTCACGGCAGCCTGATTTTTACCACTTTTTCAGATTTTACCACATTCTCACCCTGTTATTTACTTGTTTATTTATTTATTTATTTACTGGCTTTTGTTTTTGTCTTACTCTTTTTCTGGAACCGTTCTTTGCCAGACTTGAACCCTATCGTCAAGTCAACTTCTTTCTGTGTCTCAAATCCTCCAACATACGCTGCGAGCCACTGTACAAACTGGTAACAGCAGAAAAGCCATCCTCATGGTAATGGGGTCACTTGGTAAGCATTAAAAGTAAGGAAGTCATACCACCCCTTAGCGTTCGTTTTAAACTCAAAATGCAGACATACGTTCCTCTGGGTACATAATTTGCAATCTCCAGAAATGTATTTAGGCTACGGTTTCAGAATGAGCTTATGTTGCCATTTACTGTTAATTTTGATCAATATATTGCATCCCTGAATAAAAGTGTTAAACATTCCTACCCCAAAACCTTTGAATGTTGGTGTACATAGCCTTGTAGCCACTTAAAATGCAAATATGAACATTAAAGACTTTCTTAGTGTTTGCAAATGATACATTTTTGTTAATTTTCACTATCATATAAATGATTTATAATGATTTTGTGGTAAAAAAAAAAGCATATATTCTGTAGCATAAACTAATTTCAACCAGCATTCATCCAAATACACAAGTAACTGTATTTTGTGCAAAGGCTAAGCTTTCAGTTATTACTATTTGTTTCAACTCAAAGAATGTTAAGTGCTTTTATCAGAGAACACCTTTCATTTTTTTTCCGTTTACTATCCCTCAAACATAGACACATGCTCAAAGGAAAACATATACACTTTCTATTCCTTATCTTTGTTCTCCCGTGAGTCCAGTAGATTGCGCTCTTTCATATTGAAATGTAGGACAGGTGAGCTGAGAATATCTCAGTAAGCTTTGATGTTTTGTTAGGCTGTTTGGTGGTTGTTCACAGTTAGACTTTTACATCAAAGAGCTTGTGCACGTGTTTGTATTCTTCCTATGTGGTTTTAAACAAAAACACTTGAATTAACCCCCCTAAAGTGCTCTATTTATTGAAAATAGAGATTAAGAGTAGAGAGTAAATTGTTCTCTCGTACATTCTGCATGATATAAATTTGCATTTCATCATTTGTAGCCTTCTTGTCACTTCATCTGCATCACATTTTGAGTATTGAAACTGAACTGGGCTTGTTTTGAAAATAAGAGGTCTGTACGTATCAGACTGGCTGTGTCCAGGATGGTATTTTGATTGTATGCCAGTCCACACTGCCATCAGCCCTCAGGAAGGGTCAATGACAGCTCATTCCAAACAAGTAACATCAACAAACTGCTGCAGCCAATCCTATGCAAGAGCCCTCATGCGTGTGAACTAGTGTCAGATAGGCGAATCTCTCTTCCACGCTAATCAAAACAGTTCAAGTATGGAAAGACAGGAAGGACAACATCCGCCCTTTCTTAGCTGTTCCTAGGAAATAGCTGGAAGTGTGGTAAGGGGACAGGAAAAGCTTAATAGGTTACTATGCCAAGTACTAAACAAACTTTCTTTCTCTTTCTTTCCTAATTTTTGTGGGAAAAATTGGGGGGAGGGAAAACTATATTACCAAATACTTCAGTAAATTAAAACTTGTTGTTTTGTAACGTGTTTTTATAGAGAATAGACTGACTGAATTGACCCTTCGCAAGACCCAGGTTTCAAATTTTAGCCAAAAAATAACACTTTTAGTTCATGCTAGTCCCCTTGTTATACAGCAATATAAAAATGTGCTTTTTGTGAAGAACAAGTGTACATACATTTGATTGTGTGACAGAAGGCAAGTTTTGTTAATATTTGATCATAATTGCCTCTTTAATGTACTGTGGAGTTACTTAGTTACCTGTATTCTGTCTCCACGTAAACTGGCTTCAGATTACTGTTGTCACAGTTAACATCCTCCTCATTTCTTAGCATTATTAATGTTCTGCTATACAAAAGATGGAGTAGCACATCAATTTGCCATTTGCGGGTCTTTCATGTAGAGAAATTATGATTGCTAAATGATGATTCAATAAATAATGAACAAACATGTTGTTGCATGTGAAATAAAATGCAGATAGCAATATTTACCACCAGTGTAGATAATTATTAATTATTCAAAACTGTCTTTTTAACTGTAGTCATGCACTTTATGGAGTTTTTTTCAACACTCTATTTGTGTTAATCATTGTAATCAAGTTCTAAATTAATCCTTTGTGTACTGTTTAAATTTACTATTCTTTTGTAATGTTAGGTATGAAAACATCCACTGACTTAAACTGCTGTAAAAATGCATCAGACAAATATTTATTTCAAAATGTTTTGCATAACCTCAGTCTTGATCAAAACTACTAAATTGCTACTACATTTAAAGGATTTTAACTCTTTAAATGGTGAATTTATAAATGATGTCACTGATTTGGTGAAAAAATAAAACACAAAATGACTTATTTTCAATATGAAAAGTAATTTTGAACTAGATTATTTTTACCTTTTATCACAGTCTTGCACATGTAATCGATTAGTACCAACCTTGGCTTTGATGCATTGGTATATTTTCATTTTTTCCATTAAATTACTGTTGGTGGCTGTTTTTGGTCAAATTGACCTGCATTATAATCACATTTGATGGTGCATAAATATTTACTCCATAGATCTGAGAGCTGAGATGCAAATTTAGATTTTCAAGTAAAATGCATAAAGGTCACTCTCACACACTCAAAGACACACACTTTAATATGCTGTTATACACCATATAAAAACCAGAAAGCTTTTTTTGTGCACAGGCCTATGTAAAGGTTTAATCGTGCCAACTAATGGTCAACAATAAAAATTACAAATCTTCCCAACAGGGAAAACCACCAACAATCAAAAATTCATGACTATATGGTGTCATGGTTTTATAATGATAAAAATGTGGTTATAATGGAAGTCAATAGGGCAAAAACATTCGCCAACAGTGAATTAGTCAGAAAAAATGAAAATCAATCAAAAACAATGCATCAAAGGCAATGCTGTTTCACATGTCCAAGACTTTGATAAAAGGTTAAAAAAATCCAGTCCATAATTACTTTTTATATTGAAAATACATCATTTTGTGTGTGGGTCTTTAACTAAATCTTATCATTAATGAATTTAACAATTAAGGAGTAAAAATCCTGCAATTTTCTAAACAATTTAGTAGTTTTGATTACAGCTGAGGTTGATTTAACAGATTTATGTGAAAAGAAAATTGAAAAAAAATATTTGATGCATTTTTACAGCAGTTTAATTTAGAGGATGTTTTCATCCCTAACATAACAAATTTGCCCAGAGTGTATTGTTGAGTTTTTTTATTTATTATTTTTTCAGAGCCTTTTTTCAAAATATGTGTCAAAATAAGATTTGTCACCAAAAATCATTCCACTAGCTAAAACACAGAGAAAGTTGTGCCCAAATTAAGACAGAAAATAACCCCAAAAGTGGATGAAAACATCTCCAACAGTACATAAAGGTTAACATTAAGGGCCCTATCATACACCCGCGCAATAAGAAGCAAGGCACGACGCAATTGTTGTTTGCTAGTTTCAGCTCAGCTTAAGAGTCATTTTGACGTTTTGCGCCACGCTGTTTAACTAGCAAATGCTTTTGCGCTCATATGTGGGCCCATAGGCGTTCTCGTCTAAAAAAGGGGGTGTGTTGAGGCGCATCGTTGGGGCATTACTATTTTGAGTAACACATAGGTGGTTCAATAAAT